AGGCTACAGCAAGAATAAAGAGGCACTGTCACCTGCTGGCGTACCAGAAACTGGCACAGCATTAGGGGCAAGGCCGTATGCTCGAGAAGCAGGCAACAGCCTCTGCTCTGTACTAGGAACTCTACCTAAAAACAGGTAAGTGGGTAGATCTGAAGTGTACTGCTGAGGGAAGAAGCTGTCCCACCGAGTAGATCCCAGTGGGATCTCACCCGAGCCCTCCAGACCACGCTGCTTGGTTACACCCAAGAAATCAGTTCTGGCACAAGACTTACTCACCGAGCCACGAGCCAGGCTTTACTGTGAGCCCACAAGCACCTACAGACAGAGGCCCCCCCCGCAACAGACGCAGCGCTGCATGCCCCCACCTCCTGCAACATTCAACTCACAAGCCCGTATCCCCCTGGAGAAGCAGGGCTGACAAGGCTGCCCGCAGAGGAATTTGGTTTCTGAGAAGAGCAGGCAGCAGTTAAGGCAGCCACACGCACAGATGGGTATCTGCAAGGGATTGGCACGCCGTGGTTGCCCAGGGGTCCTCCCACTCCAGGGGACACGATACTACAAACCTGAGCTAGGCTGTCACACTGCGCCGTCATGGGGCACCGCTAGTCCACCCTGCTGCGGCATGGAGGAATCCTCCTGAAGGTAGCTGCGCACACCCCCTCCAGACAGCTGAGCGCTGCCGGCACGGTGCAGGTTACCCACCACGGATACGTGACCTGACAGAGCGCCAGCACTAGCAAAGTGCTGTTTAAGAAAAAGGAGAGGTGGGATTATTTACCAACAAATGATATGTATGAACAACGTTAAGGTGACATCTCTAGTTACATCCCAGCAGAGTTCAGCTAATGTTAAATACCTGAAAAATGAGAAATGAAAAGTTACAGCAGAAGTAGAAGACGCTTCCAAGCAATACTCTGCAGCGGCACCTCAGGACAGGAGAGTCAAGTTACCTGGAGTCTCTGAACTTAACACTCCAGTTTCCAGACACCTGTTTAATGTGAAGGAAAGCCTGATTTTGCATGGACTGCACTGACTACGTTTTTGGGAGGCAGAACGGTTTCTCTGGCATGTAGCAGGATGAACATTTGCACGTGGAAGCACTCCAGCCTTTGCAGGCTCTCCATTCCCTTTTTCAAGAGCCGCTAGCAGCAGGGCGACAGCGTTCTCTTTTCACGGTCCCGCAGGACCACTCGGGAAGCCACCTACACACAAGCACACGTGGTCCTTGTGCCGAGACGCTGAACTGTGGCTAACAACAGGGTCTCTAGAAGAGGCGCAGCATTGCTCAGAGCAACTGCTCTTCTCCAGCAGAAATGGTTTGCCGGAGGTGTTCCCGGGCCACGCAGCCACCCAGTCCTGGGTAAGATAATCACTGAGCTGCACCGGGACACCTCCCGGCAGGCAGCAGCAGGGAGCGCGGGGTCTCAGCTCACACAGAACAAGCCCTTCAGAAGATTCCTGAGACTGGGGAGAGACGCAGCCTTCTCCAGCGCAGACGGGAAGCAACCAGTCACCATGGGGGAGCTGGAGCAAGGGCTGTCAGTTAAGAAAGTTTCTCGCCTTTCACTAGACTGTCGTTCCCCCTTATGGGAAGATTAACGTTGCTCGGAAACCCCGCGCGCTTCCTTTGTCACACTCGGCAGGCAGGCAGGCAGGCAAGCGAGAGCCCCAGGAGGTGCTCCGGCAGCAGGGCACCCACCAGCGAAGCACCCC